CGCTACTAGGTTGCAGGCCATCGCTACTAGGTTGGAGGCCATCGCTACTAGGTTGGAGGTCAGGTTGGAGGCCATCGCTAGTAGGTTGCAGGCCATCGCTAGTAGGTTGGAGGCCATCGCTACTAGGTTGGAGGCCATCGCTACTAGGTTGGCGGCCAGCACTAACTAGTAGGTTGGAGGCCATCGCTAGTAGGTTGGAGGCCATCGCTACTAGGGTGGAGGCCATCGCTAGTAGGTTGGAGACCATCGCTACTAGGTTGGAGGCCATCACTACTAAGTTGGAGGCCATCACTCTTAGGTTGGAGACCATCGCTACTAGGTTGGAGGCCATCACTACTAAGTTGGAGGCCATCACTCTTAGGTTGGAGGCCATTGCTACTAGGGTGGAGGCCATTGCTACGAGGGCTACTAGGTTGGAGGTCATCGCTAGTAGGTTTGAAGCCATGGCTTACTTTTAAGAACCCAAGACCGACGGGGGAGAGAGAGAGAGAGATTGTTCCTCGCAGGATGCAGAAAGCAAAGCAGTTGAGAGAATACGAGGGAGGGAAGTTCGTGGAATTTGTTTGCCGTTGATTCTTGACAGGACCATTTTGCTCAAGGGCATTTTCTATGGCAAGGTGGTGAATGCGTAGGCCAGAGCCCAAAGGTTGCATTTCAGAGGATGCCAAAAATGCTGCAGCGATCTTTGGTTCATGATATGGCGCTGTTTGGAGGTATGGCCGGTATGGCCAGGGTTGTCACGTGCACCATTGTTTGGGCCTTCACTTGACCATATGCTTTCATGACTCGAGTTCGAACATTTGGCAACGTGCTCGAGTTCGTCGAGGGAGCCGGAAAGCTCGAATCCCCACAAATCGACAATTGGGGGAGTGGTAGACACGACCCCATGATGACATGAATTATGTGAAGTATTGCGTTTAGGGCAGAGACACAAAATCCACAAATCGTCTTTGATCCGATCCACAAATCGGCAATCTTTGGCCCAGAGTGCGTCTTTCTCAGCACTTGGAGATCTGTGCGATCTCGCCTCTTGAATCTTTCTGCCGTTCATGTTTGAGAAAAGGCTTTTCAGATGCTCAGCATGACCCTGACATGAAGAGAATAGAATGAACAATGAACTGACTAGGCTTAAAGAGTTCTCACTCACCATTTCTAGCGGAGCCTTTCGTGATTGCTGCACGAAGCTCACAGTAAAACCATGTTGAGAAAAACACACTCAAAATATACACCTAGGAAGTCACTCCAGCCTAATAGCGATGGCCTGCAACCTAAGAGCGATGGCCTCCAACCTACTAGCAATGACCTCCAACCTACTAGCACAGTGTTGAGATTTCAGCTGCCGGACATGGCTTTGGGCCCATGTGGTTTCCTCTGGCTTGTGAGACGTTTCTGAGTGCGAATGTAAACACAATCATAACAAGCTGAGAGAAATATGGTGTTCGATTTGTTCACCAAACAAGAGGCGACGGACACGAGAGGAAGGGTTCCAAAAAGGCCTGCAAGAAAGGAAAAAAACAGTGTTTTCGAAAAGACGACGAAGTTTGAGGACGTTGACGATGAGTGCGGAGGACCTGTCAGAGGGGGTTGCAACTGTCGCGTGTCGACAGCCGCGACCGTGGCAGGGTGAACTTGGATGCCTTTGGCATCGCATTGTCCTTACTCACCTGGCTCCTCCTAATCTTCACAGATGCGGTGGTGGTCGGGCACCCAGATGGTCCTTTCTCAGACTTTTCCCACCTTGCTTGGTGTCACCAATTTGGCAATCCTTCGTGCCAATCAGTCGCAAGAATGTGGAGTGCAAGCTTGACTGGTCAGTTTTGATTGTTTTTCCACGTGAAGCTCAGGTGCGCTTTGTGCTGGCTTTGGTCTCAGAACGTTCAAAGAGATCCTGTCAACAAAATCTGCTTCATGATCTTCATGATGATCTTCATGGAAGCATGAAATGCGCTTACAACATCCAACCAATCACTAGAACGACATGGCTTAGACGACTCTGCCGTTGTTCCTCTCAGTTCGCCTGGTTCACAACAAGTCGGCCAAGATTTCGCTGGGTCGGAGTCTCGGTTTGACACGGGGAGTGGAAGAGGAGTGGAGTGCACGGTTGAAGACGTAGGCCGCCGTAGGCCTCCAACCTAGCAGGAAGCCATTTTTGGGCGGCCTCCAAGCTACTGAAAAAAGGAAAACACACACAACCTGTTCAACAATTGCGTTCTTGTACTCCGTTTGCTATTTTCTTGGTAGTTTTTGTGGATTTGCTGTGTGACACATCCTCTTCGTGGGAACAGGAGAAAACGAACAGCAGGTTGCCGATGGGGCCTGGTGGTATGGTGCAGAAGCGGCGCTTTTCAAGCACTGATTGTGCTGTGGGAAGTACTCAATGAAGGACAACAATCAACAAACTATATTGGACCTTTCTTCCTTTTATTTTTTTCGTTGTTTCTGAAACCAATGGCCTCCAACCTACTAGCAATGGCAAAGCAACTAGCACTGCAAGAGCCGCTACTTTTGGGATCTTGATTGGAAATGCCTGAACCCTTGTACATTCAACAAGAACGCTCTCGATTTCAACCACGCTACCTTTCTTCCCACAAGTCGAACCAAATGAAGAGTGCAAGCGCTTGCTTGGAGAATTGTGAGCTATCCTGCGTCCAGTAGGTAGCGTCTTAGTAGCTAGGAGCGTGCAAGTTTCCCCCTACTTGATTAAGTAGGTGCCTACTTAATTCAGGAAACAGGCAGAGCCACAGGTGGGCTTAAACAAAAATTCATTTTGGGGCCAAGAGGAGGGGAAAGACGACACGACAACTTCCAAAGTGATTCGGGCAGGTGCCTTTGAGCGACTTGGGGCTCTTTCTGCTGGCCTTGTCCACTCCTCGGCTTTTTGGAGAACGGGTTCTGAGGCATGGCCTCCAACCTGAGATCGATGGCCTCGAACCTAAGAGTGATGGCCTCCAACCTAAGAGCGATGGCTACTAAGAGCGATGGCCTCCAACCCAAAAGCGATGGCCTCCAACCTAAGAGCGATGGCCTCCAACCTGAGAGCGATGGCCTCCAACCTAAGAGCGATGGCTACTAAGAGCGATGGCCTCCAACCTAAGAGCGATGGCCTCGAACCTAAGAGTGATGGCCTCCAACCTAAGAGCGATGGCCTCCAACCTAAGAGCGATGGCCTCCAACCCAAGAGCGATGGCCTCCAACCCAAAAGCGGCCTCCAACCCAAAAGCGATGGCCTCCAACCTATTAGCGATGGCCTCCAACCTAAGAGCGATGGACTCCAACCCAAAAGCGATGGCCTCCAACCGAGTAGCGATGGCCTCCAACCTAAGAGTGATGGCCTCGAACCTATATAAGAGCGATGGCCTCCAACCCAAAAGCGATGGCCTCCAACCTAAGAGCGATGGCCTCCAACCTAAGAGCGATGGCCTCCAACCTAAGAGCGATGGCCTCCAACCTGAGAGCGATGGCCTCGAACCTAAGAGCGATGGCCTCCAACCTAAGAGCGATGGCCTCCCAACCTAAGAGCGATGGCCTCCAACATAAGAGCGATGGCCTCCAACCTAAGAGCGATGGCCTCCAACCTAAGAGCGATGGCCTCCAACCTATAGTAGCGATGGCCTGCAACATAGTAGCGATGGCCTCCAACCTAGTAGCGATGGTCTCCAACCTAGTAGCGATGGCCTCCAACCCAAAAGCGATGACCTCCAACCTAAGAGCGATGGCCTCCAACCTAGTAGCGATGGCCTCCGACCTAAGAGCGATGGCCTCCGACCTAGTAGCAATGGCCTCCAACCCAAAAGTGATGGCCTCCAACCCAAAAGCGATGACCTCCAAGCCAAAAGCGATGACCTCCAACCTAAGAGGGATGGCTTCCAACTCGCCGTTAAGCTGCGTTTGCCCTGAGAATTGATTGTAGAGGATCTTGAGCATCATGTCCCGCAGTGAGAATGGAAGTGGCGTCGACCAACACAGGCCGCTTTTGATCGTGTTCTCCGCTCAAGCTCGGCTCAAGCTCTGAACTTCAAGGGAACGACCAGTCTTCGTCTTTCTCTTCCGAAAGATTTTGTGATTCGGATGTCCAAGGATCCAAGCTGTGCTCAATATCAGAAAACGGTACTCAGAGGAGGCATTATCGGCATCACATTGCAGCATATGAAGCTGCAATAAGGTGTCTGCAATGCACATGCCATGCCTTCCTGGCGGTTCCATGCTTGGAGCCAAAATTTGTGAGCAACAACTGGATTGCAATTGAGGTACCAGCTGCTCCTGATGTTGTCTCTGTCCGGGGCCTCGAGGGCTTGGCCACTTCTCGTGTTTCAGAAAAAGATAGCAAGTCACCCCTAGTAGCTTCTTGTTCCTAGTAGTAAGGCCAGGAGCCCCTAGTAGCGTCCTTGCTCCTGGTAGCGATGCCCTTTGCTCCTAGTAGCTTCTTAAAAGTCACACCGTTTTGACCATTGTTCTTAAGAGTCGGGAAAACAAAACGTCACTGAGGGTCTCCCATGTGCGTGCCGTCACCACTGATCCGGGCACAATGTCGCTCAGGCTTTCGGGAGACACCGAAACCAATTTGTTGATGTGTTGAGCAGACTAAGAGCGATGGCCTCCAACCTGCTTGTGATTTCACTGTTTTTAGCAGACTAAACATGGACAAATTTGAACAGTTCAAACCAATTAGTGCCTGTGAGTCTTGAAACGGCTGGGGACGTGAAACTTCGTTCTTTCCACATTCAGCTGCCTCACACCGCTGTGTCGCTGCTTTGCATGGAGCGTGCTTTGCCGGTTTTTGCCCAGTTCGGCACCCGAAAGCCTCAGCAATCCGCGGAATTGCAAGCTCTGCCAGGCAATGTGAGACATCGGATGGTTTTTGAAAAGCTTTCTTGGAAAACAGCTACTAGTAACAGGTGCATCGCTAGTAGTAACAAGAAGCCATTAGAATTAAATTAGAATTAGTAAGGCACTTGTTACTAGTAGCGATGCACTTGGAAGAGATCGTGGATTGGGAAGGGTTAGTAAAGATTTGCTTTTGAAAGGAATGACGTCCAAGACCGCAGGAGTTATGATTTTTGATTTATATCGTGCGATGTTCGGATGAACTGCTTGACCTGAGGGACGCTGGAAGCCACCTCGAGCGCATCATTGCAAGACGTGCGGGCCCTTGAGTGCCCGAACTAGACAAAAACACAATTGTCAGAAGTTGCTTGTATGGAAGCCACCTTGGGGGGGAACATTTGTCTCCTGTCCACAGACTCTTGCAGGCAAAGAACCCAACAAGCAGTAGTATTCTTTGGTAAACCCTTTTGGACTGGTTTCAGGGAAGCTTTCAGCACCAAGGTGTCGATGCTGCATCTTCCGCATGGACTGCCGGAAACACCTGAAACCTTAAAACGCTTCCAGCTCGGCGCTGCGAGTCCGGAGGATCTCCAATTTCCCTAGTAGCGTCCTTGCTTCTAGTAGCGATGCCAGGAGCCCCTAGTAGCTTCTTGCTCCTAGTAGTAAGGCCAGGAGCCCCTAGTAGCGTCCTTGCTCCTAGTAGCGATGCCCTTTGCTCCTAGTAGCTTCTTAAAAGTCACACCATTCGCAGGGGTCATGAAACAAGTCGGAGAGGACGATGACGATGACGAGTTCTGAAACTTGGTGCAGGACCATCATTGTCCTTGGATCAACAACTGCGTTGGCCTTTCGAACCAAAAGCTCTTCATTCTCTTCTTAGGCTCGATGCTCTGCTCTCCTATTCGTGTGGAAGTGGTCGTTCACTGAACGCGTCACTTCAAGAGTCACTACTAGTGATAGCCTCCAGCCTATACGAGCGATGGCCCCTCCAAACTGATTGCGTAAACCTGAATTTATGGTCAATTTATGGTAGATTGGAATGGTTTGTTTAAGTTCACAAACTCCAAGATCTGAGTTGCAGGAAGCTCAGGAACCTCTGGAAGCAGCACAGTTTTTTTGTTTCTTTCCCAAGCCAGACTGACTCTGGAGATTTGTGAATCTTAAGCATTACTGGTAGTTGTGAGACCCTAACATGCACGTCTACAAGTCTCATCGACCCATCGTTTTGCATCTCGACTTCGACTCTTCAGACACAGTCCTTTTTTAAAGATGTAAACATGTACACGTAAACGGTAAAGACATGCTTTTCTTCCTGCCTGTTGACACAGACATCACAGTTCCTGACGGTTCCTGACGGTTCCTGACGGTTCCGGCTTCCTGCGCCGCAGTCTACACCTGTGTCAGCGCAATCTGGACGCTGCTGCTCTTGGCCGCAGGTGCCTTTTGTTGGCTCTACGCGTGGACACCCAGATTCGCAATCCAGAATATATTCCATCCGGCCTAGGTCCTAGGTTGGATGAAAAGTGTTCTTTAAAAGCAATTCATCTCATTGGTTTGGGGCGAGTGGGGACACTTTCAGTCTTTGTTCCAGTGGCTTCCTTTGGATTCACAGTGCCTCTTCACATGACTTGACTCCATAGAGAGGATTCTAGACATTCCATTAATTGTCACGACAGTCTGCAAAGATATCCTTGCCCCTACCTTTCCTTCTTGCTTCTACCGACAAGAAGCTATTAGGAACAAGTGCATCGCTACTAGTAACAAGTGCCTTACTAGTAGTAACAAGAAGCTACTAGGAACAAGTGTTTCCCTCCACTCCGCGCCACGTTCGGGGTCCTCGCACTCTCGCCAGAGCCAAAAGTCCTGGTCCGATGCGCCACCGCCGGGGAGTGCATCGCTCATATGCCACTTGGCGAAAAGGGAGACAAGAAGTGAAGACGCCAAGCTACTAGTAACAAGGGCATCGCTACTAGGAGCAAGGACGCTACTAGGGGCTCCTGGCCTTACTACTA